TTTTCTTTTTGTAGGAATAATTGGATGAGATATTTATACAATTTTTTTTTTTATCTTTGGATACATAACAGGCATTCAGTACCTCCATCGTAGCATTTAGCACAGAGATACATAGCAACTTTTTAGAACGTTTAAATTTTGGTGTTAAATGTATAATTTAAATTATCCATTTGAACAACATTTGCAACATTGTTCAGATATTAGTTTTGAACAACCATTTCAGAAAGGCCAGTGTTATACTATCACAATTTTATTCTATTTATTTTCATTTTTTATATTTTCCTTTGATTCCTATTTTTTGTGATGCATTTTATGGGGAAAAACACTTACACAGATCTTCTCGGTCAAGTGTTCCACCAGTTCCACCAAATAGCCCCTTCAGAAAACCTCTGTATTGGGCCTCTGGGGTGTCCATGGGAATGAACAAATCACCAAGCATGTCCTGTTCAAACAACAGCACAAAAAAAAATCCATTTCAAGTCTTTTCAGCCAAACTTCACAAGAGAAGCTCCTGAATGTTTATTAAGATGTATGTAGGGTATATCAACAGATGAATTTTATCATCACTGAATAATCAATCTTCCCAACAATGAGAAGAATTCTGATGTATCACACAAAAGTCTCTCTTAGTCAGAAAAGCCCATTCCTAGATGTTTTCTTATGCTGTGGGATACGATATACATAGTTGAACTCTCAAGCAATGTAAGGGGAACTCTGTCCCTGACTTTTCAATCTTTTTCATGGCCATCTCATTTTTTTGTTTCACCTTTAGTAGCCAATGTGACTATGTTGAACCCTCCTAGCGTGTATGGAAATAAAGCTTTACACCTCATGACACATCATGGTTAACATTCAGGGGTACATCCAGAATGCATGCAACAGCACATCCCTATACCTTTATAGTAAGATACTGCCAGTGATGTACTGCTAAAATGTTCCAAAAAATGGCTCTGTCAAATCCATTGCAGCCACTAATTATAGAACAGCTAATTGGCATGCTATGTGTTAAGGCTCACCTTTAGGTTGTGGCCAGTCTGACATGTTTGCGGTCAACTGGTGCACAAAATTCCAGAGAATTTAACAAATGGCTTTTATAAGTTGATGTGAGCCAACTCCAGCACATCACTGGATATTGCCAACCATAATGACTCTTGTCCTCATCCCATGCATCTTTCTACCATTGCTATAGGAACATCAGCACACAATGTTCATTTTCAAAAGGTAGTGGTGTTATAAGCTTTTTTTTTCACTACAAAAGTAATAACCTAGTCTAACCTAGTAATAACCTAGCATTCACAAGAATGCTAAGAAGACTAAATGAGCAGAAAAGCACTGCAGCAATCCTGAATATCAGGAAAAGGGAACGGATCATCTATACCAAGCATGTCCAATCCATATACTACATGCAGCCTTGGACAACTAGTAATGCAGCCCCACAAGATTGTAATAAAAATATTAAAAAACAAAGGAAGTTTGTTCTTTATATACATTATATATTTTATATGCAGCCCAAGATAATTCCCCTTCATTCAGTGTGGCCCAGGTAAACCAAAAGATTGGTCACACTTCATCTATACATTTTCCAACAAAATGAACACCCACCCAATTTTATCAAAAAATGCCTGATCACTCAATACACTACAGGACAATCAGCACAAGTTGTGAAAAAGGATAACATTGCGATACATGAAAAACAGCTCAGAAATAACTATAGACTATTAGAACTACATGGCATCATCCTAGCACACCTAGAGCCCTCCAAAACACCCTAAGTAAACCGAAAGACCCAGTAGCCTCAGAAATAAAAACAGGAATCATCTACAGCATAGAGTGTAAGAACTGTAACAGCCTCTATATAGGACAGAAGACTAGCAGAGTGTATCCGTAAACCCCAAATGGTGGTCAGAAGACTCCTTAATTACACAATACATGGAGAGACATCACTATAGTTTCAATTGGGTCCTCTTGAGAATTCTAGACCAAGTGAAGTCCAAAAATGCTAAAGGATTCCTGGAAGTCTGGCACTTAGACAAACCAGCCAGAGATAAATACATCTATATATCGTTCAAAAGAGACAATCAAAAAGCTAAAAAGGAAACAAAAAGACCAAAACACCTCTTCACCAGCGACCAACAACCAGATAAACAGAGATTAACATCAAGATTAATACTAGACCAACAATCAAGCAGTAAACAATAACCCCACACAAGGAACTACAGCCTAATCAAAGAACCACCAAGAACACTCCCAACAACGCTGACAGGATAAGCTCCTTGTATATAAACAGATGATGTTATCTAATGAAATGTCCTCAAGAAAACAACCAACCTCCAAGAGCACCATGGACCCCACAGGCTCCTCAGTGTTTAATGTGACAGTCCTTCCTCCTGGCACCATTTCATTCATGGAGTACGATTGAGTTTCACCTGTCCAGCTGATAGAACAGGTAACATTCGGGAGACCATTACTTGCAAACCTGGATTTCAGTTTGCAAATTAACAAACTAAATTTGGCTTCCAGGCCTTGCTGAACTACATTTTACAATACCATTGGTATCAAAGCTGCCTCATCCCAAGCACTATTCATTGTTTAAGTCCTTGCTCTAGAGCTGGCAGGCAGCTAATCATGCAATCTCCATGCCTGTCACAAATCCACCTGACTTCCTAATGATCAGTTCACTCCTAATCCAAAGCTCTCTATCCTCTGTAGAATCCTTGGTACAAGAGGATTTGAAGTCATCATCCAGGGATCATATCCTGCCTATAAAAAAGGATTTCCCTAAGACTCTCATTCTTCCTGGCAGCAAATGAACTGTCATTTTGAGAGAGTGATGAAACTGTGATGTTACAAGTATTTTCTGCATATTCTCCGACTCTCAAATCATCTCCAGCTCAGCCACTTTGGATTCAAGGAAACAAACTTCTTTTTTTGGCATTGCGCTTTTACAACACAGAAGCTATGTTTGTTATTATATTTCAAGATCTACCTGCAGATGGTCAAACATTTCCTGGCTATAGTTCAGTCGCTGGACTTCTGTTGGAGAACCAAGATACAAAGCTTGTCCTTCATTGGTAAAACAAAAGGTCCGGGCAATCCTTGTATCTGTTTCAGGCAAATAATTCACATCTAGCAGCGAGCGAAGGCTGGGTAAACTGAAAATAAACAGATAGATTCTGTAGAAACAGGTTTTAACACAATATTATTTGCAGTACCATATTTTCACAGCTGTGATCCAAGCAAACAAAACAAAATTATGCATTTAAATATAATCAGAATGACTATGGCTGCAGATCTATGAATAATTATTTGCGAATAAGTCATATTAAATGCAATACAGTTATCAACATTAAGCTATAAGCCTCAAGATTAGGTTAGAAAATGCATGTACCAATCAATTGCTATGGCAATTGCAGGTAGGGATTCATCCTCTGTTCAAATTCCTGGATTATATTGCACCCATATGCTGTACAAAAGCAAAACTAAATTATCTGGCACTTGTGAATTAAACTTGCGTATAAAGTCACTTCTGTGAGCCGCTAAAAAGAGGGAACTTCAGACTCAGCCAGGCTTTGCCAGCTACAGAGAATGATCTAAATACTATAAAATACTTCTGTAGCCATAAGGACATAGATGCGCCATATTCTTGAACCTGAGAGAGGCAAGTGGTGTTTATGCCCTGCTTAAGGTAGGTAGCTGGGGATGATATTTTGGATTATGTGTTTGTCTGGGTACTGGAGGGAGGTTATGAGATTAGATGAATGACTGAAGCTTTCCTTAGGCATATATTCTATTCTTTGGGAGAAGAACACTAGATTCAATAATTTGAGCTGTGAAGATAATTTCCAAGGTTAACAAGTAAGCAATCAGAAGTTGAAATTGGCAGGATCAACACAAGAAATTTCTCCCAAAAGGCTAGAAATCACGTGGATGATTCTAGCTACGTTTTAAGGTCATTTGTAAATTTGAATAAATAAATTGCATGGAATTTGGAGTTCTTCATGTGCGTATAATGTATATGTGTTTTCTTAAAACATTATCTTGACCAGAATCTCCTTGGAATCCTCCTTCAGAGGGATCCATCTTTACCAACATCTCACAGATTTCATTGTTCAGCAATTAGTGAAGAGTGCCAAATTCCTCTTCACTTCAAGGATGATGTGTGGCAAGAAAGGGTCATGGCTTACATTCATGAAATGGTATCAAGTACCTCAGTATCATGATATGCCCATTGGCACAAAAACATGCCAAGCAAACACTGTTACAGAGGGTCACCACATCTGCTCGCAAAAATAATGTGTCTGTGATGTTGTGAACATAGAGGCATATCTGGGAAGGCAATGAAAATACTTTGGCTTGTTTCTCTGAGCAGATAATGGCAAGCTGGTGGTCTCCTGTGTTCTGGGAGCATGAAGAATGAAGGACAGGTTTCCTTTTATTGGTTCTTTCACTATCCTCAGTGGCATTTGGATCTTTCCATGCTTCATAGGGAGGATGTATTAATGTTCCCATGCAGTCCAAGCAAGCAAAGGTTAACACTGCTCCTTTTAGTGACAAAATTGTACCTATAAAACAGAATTCATAGGGTTTAATAATCTTGTATTGATGCCAGTATATATTAGCTGCGTTATAACATTTCTGTCTCTGTCCCTCTCTCTCACACACATACACACATACACTTTTTTTCAGCTTATACCATTTCAGTATATATCATTATATGATTGCAAGATAGGGTCAGACCTCTAAATTTAGAGATACTGTACTCAGTCAGGTCAAGGAACTCACTCCCCAATTTCTTAGTATATTTCCCTCATGTTCCTTATAAATGAAAAATGTTGAAATAATGTTATGCTCTCTGGATTAAGTACATATTCATTTCTAGCAGCTTCCTGACATTTCAAGCCAGAGTTCTGCTATGTTTTAATTATTAAATAAAAGGTTATGTTCTGAATTACTTTTGATATAGCAATGTGCTGCATTAAAGAAGCTTTTTTAAAAGTTGTACAAAATTTGTTTTTAATTAAAAAAAAGAGCTAATTTTAATCAAAACTCAAAAATGATGAATTTGTAATGATATCAAAGGTTTTTTTTTGGTTATGATACCCAAATGCTGGCATGGATTTTTTTTTTTTAAATATCCAGTATCAAAAAAATGTCACTAGGCTTGTATAAAAATTTGTCAGCTAAAGTATTGGAATTCTTGGCCTTTTCTGCTTCTTCTTGAGAAAAAGGATATGCATTCAGACTGCTGAGGATGGATCACTGATTCACTTCCCACTCAATCTGCTCCCAATTTCAACTATTCTTTCCAGAGCAAATCTAGATTACATCAGACTCTGCTGAAATAGTCTTGTAGGATCCAATCTGGGTCAGTCACCGGGACCAGAGGTTTTGTATTCCGAGCTTTCAGACTCCTGCCGAAGCCCATCCTCAGGGAACTGCTCTTTAGCAGAGTATGAGCTGTTCTTTGTGTGTCCTTGTTGCAGTGTGAGGCAAACAATGAATTTGATTTTGCAGCTACTAAGATTGTTGATAAGCAAGCACAAAAACAGCCAGGGAAGTGATTGAAGCCTGGGAAACAGGTTCCTCATCAGTCAACAGGAGTGCTGATTTATCACCAGCCCATCAAGTACTTAAAAGACAAGGGCTGGGCAGCACAAGTAAACAACAGCTAATGACTTAAAAGCCACGTCTTGAGGCAGTGGCAATAGTAGTGGGACACACCTCGCAGCAGTGGCAACAGCGGCGCAACACGCTTTGCAGCATCAGGAGCCCTGTGGCACGGTAAGCAGGTGTGGGGCGTGTGGGGCAGCTCCTCCCTCCCCCTGCCTCGTGTCTTAGCAAATAAATAGGACTTATTTTGGGGATAGGGCTTATATAAGGCCCACTCCCAAAAATCTAGCTAGGGCTTATTTTTGGGGTAGGTCTTATTTTCAGGGAAACATGGTAAATACCACGCACAGAACAGCTCACACTCTGCTAGAGAGCAGTTCCTCGAAGATGGGTTCCGACAGGAGTCGGAAAACTCAGAATACAAAACCTCTGGCTCCTGGTGACCAACCCAGATTGGATCCTGCAACATTATCCTGGGGTACGTATATATGCCTTCATTCTTGAAACAGACTTGTGTTATTTTCAGTCTTTTATAAATATTCAAATTACCTTACTCTCCCATTACACATACTGTACACACGTAGACATACATAGACATATACACACTCTTTAGTATACCTAAGGGCAATCCCAAAGGTTAGCACAGGTATCCTAATGACCTTCCTTTCTTCTTTTCTGTTTCAATTAACAGCCCAAGGCAAAAGCACAGAAAGACATAATCTAATTAGACTTTGTGTTAATTGATATATTTCAGCAACTATAGCAATCTGAAATTCTTACCACTGAGTGAAATTGTTACTGGGTCCGTTGGCCTTAATTCATCGACAGTGGGAAGGTGAAGGGAAAGAGTCAAGACTACACCCAGGCCTGTTCCAACCCAAAGGCAAGGAGACAAAGATGTGTCATTTTTCCGTGAAAATGACTCCATGAAATATAAAGCTGTGATTGCTTCCTTAGATTCTTTGTCAATACTGCAGATGCTAGAACTTCGAGAAGGACTGAATGAGTTCTCTCTGTTTTCTGTTGCAGAAAAGTAAGACAGATTAACATATGAAGTTGCTATTTACCAAGACAAGTTATGGTCTTGCTATTATCCAATTAAAAGAAATGTATTTTCGGTAACCATCTCTTCCTCTCTGAAAGCAATCTGTGATTCTGTTTGTTAGAGCAGCTGTAGCTCACTCATTAAGGCAGGACTTCTCACAGACTTTTAATTTTAATTCCATACATGATTATTGCTTTAGAACTCTAAAGACAGTGTTAATTCATGTACAGATTGTAATTAATTTTTTTTGAAAGGTGAAAACAGAAATATACAGTAAGTGGAAACTAACCTTCCAATGTGATGGGCAAAGAGATCTCCATGCAAGCAGCAGACTGTGCTTTCCTAAATGGAGGCTTTCCAGGAGCACGACGATTGATTTTGGAAACATCTGCACTGGACAGTCGTTTTCCAGAACTGCAAGTTAGGGAAGTTGGATTTGTACAGTGTCCATTTAAAGAATCTGAAACAAGATTACATTAGAGTTTTCATTAAGATCAAAAAGAGGTTGCTATAAAGGCTGCAGTTATTTGACAATCTCTTCTCTGCTTATGCTTCATACACATTTTTTAAATACTATATTGTCATTTGAGAAAATGAACATTTGTCTGTTTACTGTTATTTGTTTTCTATATTCTACCAAAACTGGAAAAGGCAGGCATTATATTATAGAATTTTACAAAACATATAATATAAATTTTCAGTTAAGAAAGAGAACAACTTTATTTGCTCTTTTGCCAGTAACAAAGTTTACATTAATATTTCTCTTTACTATTACATGGAAAATATTGTAATAGCCTATATCTTGAATGAATACCAAACTTTTGTTCAAAATTGAAGATCTGATGCAATTTTTTTGTATTTTTTACAGTATATAGAAGATATTGTAAATTATATAGACCTTGAATGCTGTCACTCACACCCTGGTCATCTCTCAGTTGGATTACTGCAACACATACTACATGAGGCTTCCCTTGAAAAATATTCAGAAGCTACAGTTGGTACAGAATCATTTTAACAGTTCTGTTGATGGCAGCCCAAAACACAATAATAGGATAAAGGCCAAAGCATCTAATTAATGTTCCAACTCCTGAATTATATGTCCAATGCACTGTAACTTCAACATTTTCTGAGGCACTTAGAAAAGTGAATTAAAAACTTCAGAACTTTCTTTTGAGCATCCTATTATCATTATTTTGGTTATAAAGTTGAACAGCCAATACCACTCATATGTACTTGAAGAGGGTTCACAATTATCCACTGCATCTTAGCCATTCAGATACAAACTTCAGACAAAGAAAATAAAGAAGAAAAACATTAAAGAAATATACAATTACACTGATAATTTGGTACTCAACTGCTTTGAAATTTGGTACTCAATGCATTTTCACGTGAAAATTTTGTCCTGGTACTCATTGTTTGGTACTCGATGCACAAGCTAGAACTTATCAGTGTCAGCTGCCTTGTGACTTACTACATTATTCCTTATGGGGGAAAAATTGTTTGGTGCTCATCATTTTTGGTACTCATCGCACCTCCCAGAACCAATTAACAATTGAGTACCAAGGTACCACTGTATAATAATCCAGTGCAATGTTTCTCTGCTGGAGCGGCTTATAGCAGTAGAAGGGAAGGGAATGATTTTTTTTAATTCCCCTAACTTGTCCTCAAAATGTAAGATCAGAGTAGAAAACCACAGGGTTGCAACATGGAGAGAAAAAAGTTTAATTATGCAAACACATCTGTTTGCATTTATCCACTGAAAACACAAAATATATCCAAAATTTTAAAGGCACAATGCCTTCAATTCTAATTTCCATTCATTCTTACCCTGGGGAACAAAAAATAGCCAGCGGTTCTGCTGAATTGGTGCTAACTGGCTGAATCCCACCACTAGGTACACTTCTCATTTTAAACTGGGTAGACTGGCATTGAATCTAGTCTGCTCAATACAACATGTTACACTGGAAATTTCCTCTTACTGCAAACACAGGCATAATAAGGCCTAGTTATAGTCAGCCCTGTGGAAGGAAGAAAGAATTAAAACTCTGTCCTCCATTTCATGGTCTCTGCTCTAGCATGACCCCTCACATCAACTATTTGTTTAAAAGAGAGAGAGAGAAATTACACTTTAAAGCAGAATTGTAGGAATAACATTTAGGCAAAGAAAAATGTAATTTTGTGTATTCTTGCAATTTCCAGTAAGTATGCCTTTCTATCTTTCTTTATAAATGGCTCCAGGAAGATAAAAGTAAAATTAATTTTAATACAAAGCTAATACAAATGTCTGGGCATAAAGAATAAACTGCCCTGCTTAGACATCTTGGGTGTCTAAGAAAACTTTCAGAAAATAGATATCAGAAATTGACTTTCTACAAAGCTATGCCCTCTGCTTTACATCTCTTTTGCCCTTATTTGATGATATTTGGGTGACTGGCTTCACATGCCTTTCTCTTATGAATGGTTTGCCTTATTAAACATCTTCATATGTGCTCTTTCACATCACCATCTGTCTCAGAACTAATATAATCAAATTCCAATAGGTTAGACATGATTTGGCAGTTTAATTCTATTGGCAGAGAAGGAGGAGATGGGTCTAAAACATTTTGAGAGACATGGTAAACAAATCTGCAAGTTTTCTACATGAGTCTAGAATGAAAACTATTTGTAAGGAACTATCTGTAACTCAGCAAGTTCTGACTTGCTTTCATGTTTCTAAGGTAGCAAGATCAAATTTAAATTCTGAGATGCTAGGTCAGTGGTTCTCAACCTGTGGGTCGGGACCCCATTTGGGGGTCGAACGACCATTTCATGGGGGTCGCCAAACCACGCTGTCCGCCATTTTTTTCCCCTTTCCCTAGCTGTCCTACTCCCTCTTATTGGTGGCCACACCCACTTGGGGGTCACCACAACATGGGGAACTGTATTATGGGGTCACGGCATTAGAAAGGTTGAGAACCACTGCTAGATGTAAAGACAATTAGCCCCCAAATAATAATTACCTGAAGCTGTGGGGGACCTGCACCGCTCCAGCTCCATTGGAAATGGACCATCCAGTATCTCTGTGACACCTATTAAAATATTAAATTAGAATATATTAATAATTATTGCAATCAACATTATATAAGCATACTATTCCTCAAAAGACCTCTTTTTGTTCTTTTCCGTTTCATTCTGTAATGAATAAATAAGAAGGCCTTGATGGACAGAGGGAAGATCCAATATCAAGGCAATGATCAGATAGACAGAACCCAAGGCAAGGAAGTGATTTGCAAAAAGTTTTCATTCACTTTCCCACCATCCAATTCACAGGAAAATAAAAGAAGAAGGAAAGGAAGCATATTTGGATTGGCAAGATTGATGTTGGCCCTATAACGTAGATCAAAATAAAAAGCAGACACTATGTGGACCTAAAGCTACTTTTGTTAAAACATCTATAACAGAATCTTACAAGTCTGAATATATACATTCACATTCTACTCTGGGTTGTCTACAACCCACAAGAACAGATTTAAATATAGGTATGGAATTATACAATTCTATTCTGGCAATAAATGCCAATTTGCTACCTGGAATTCAGTCTCTGGATACAATTCAATGGACTTGGACTATAGAATAAAATCTTATTTTTTGAAATAAATAAAAGAAACTGGCATGCAGAACTCATAAACGCTTCTTGTCTCTGAAACAGCAGTGGTTGGACTTTTGTGGTAATAGGTTTTTGTGACATACATACTCAGTAAGGAACCTTTTAAATGGAAAAAAAATGCAAGGACTTAGTCTTCTATAGAAAAGGTAGAAACAATGCTAATAATATTTAGCAGCTTGGTACCAAATTTAACAGATACCTGTACATGGTCAGGATTTCAAGAAACAAGGAACCAGGATACAATCTTAGGAATGACTTACTGAGCACCATTGAGTCTTAACTGAGTAAAGAGCAAAGTGGGGATGGAAGCATCTCTTCCTTACTCAGGAGAAAACAAACCCATTCACAGATTTTTGCAGATCTATCATTAGGAAAACAATGGGCTTGGAAACTGTTTGCTATTGATGCTAGTGATAAACTTCTGCTTGATTACTTAGAAACAAAGCTAGACAGTCTCCCAAGGTCTTGTCTTCCATACAGGGCTACTGAGAAGAACAATGCATGGGTTTGGAGGAAATTTGTCAGACCTGTCCCAATCTGATCCCTAAGAAAAGAAAATCCTTCGACACCATTTGGTTAAAACAAAGGGTTCTTTTATTAAAAGTGTTGGTTGCAGTAAAGTCAAGTCAGCTCTGAAATTATTGCGTTCACTGGATACAAAAATAAGATGTAGGCTTGCTCCCAGTCCATCCCTCCCCCTCCGTGACCAGTCCGTTTCCAGCCAACCAGAGTTCACCAAGATATTTTGAGAACTCTGAGGTGTTTGGGGGTTAATCTGCATATTTCTCAGGGTGCCTGGACATGGGATGCTGGTACAAACAGGATCTGGCTGCTCTGGTCCTTATCACTTGTCCTTCCCCCCCTCCCGATTTCCTATCACATAAACACAAAGCTTTATTGCCCTTTCATGCTTTCTCCCCCTAATTCTTTTTAGGGCAGGATGCCTATGAAGCCCCCAAGCCGAGCCAGGCAGATCTGACAATATTACCAGTAGGTTGAAACCACTTAGGTAGAGGTCTCTTTTTCTGCAAGCTCAGGATTTGCTGTGTCCACAATCTATGCCCATGGTGATGAACCTATGGCACGCGTGCCACAGGTGGCACACAGAGCCCTCTCTGTGGGCATGTGCGCCATTGCCCCAGTCCAAGGCCTTAAGTCCCGTCCATGAGCAACCTGCATCAAAATCTCCCTGGGCAAGTGGCTTTTTAAGCTGGGTTTTATAAAACCTTTTCGCTTTAGGCTTCCACCGCCATGTGCAAAAAAAAAAAAAAAGTTCATTCAATCAATTTCAACTTCTCGTGGGAAAAAAAAAATCTTGCAAAGTTGCGATTGATTGATTGAACTTTATTTTTAGTCCCACACAGCAGCAGAGGAAGTGACGCATCAGAGCTGGAAAGAAGGTGCCAGAAGGGGTTGGGGAGAGCGGCAGGAGCAGGGGGCTCCATGCGAAGTGTGGGGTGGGACCTGTGCATGGGGTAGAGGAGCAATGTGGTGGCGCTAGCATGGTGGTAGACCAGTTGCTTCCCTCTCCCTCCCAGATACTTGCCGAAGCGGTGCAGGGTAAGGTTGCCGGGCCCACTCCCGCCCAGATGCTCTTGCCTCCCCCAAGCATTTTTTTACTAACCTGCCTTTCAGCTGCATTCCATTTCTTTGTTTGCTTCTCAGCTTTCGCCACGTGTTTGTGGGACTATCGGTAAAAAAAAGTTTCATCAGACTTTCTAACTTCTCACAATATCTCGCAGGAGGTTAGAAAGTCTGATGGAACTTTTTTGTTTTTACTGATAGTCCCACAAACACATGGCGAAGGCTGAGAAGCAGATCTTCCAATGCACCATTGTTGCTACTTTGTCATGCCGCTGCTTGTAGTCAGTCTGTGCAATCTTCTTGCAGCAGTTTACCAGGTGGTCCACTGTTTCTTCAGCTTCTTTGCATAGGCGGCACTTACTGTCTGTTGCTGTCTTCTCAATTTTGACTTTATTTACATTTATCCTTAAGGCTTGGTCTTGTGCAGCCAGAATTAGTCCCTTGGTCTCTTTCTTCAATTTTCCTCCTTTTAGCCATTGCCAGGTCTTGTTATTATCTGCTTTCCCAGCTATTTTTTTTAATGTACTGGCCATGTAGTGCTTTGTCTTCCCATGCCTCTATTCTGTTCTTCATTTTGTCTTTCTTGTAGGCAAGTTTGGTCTCTCCAGTAGTCAATAAGCCTTCCTGATATACTAATTTCAGTGCATCTTCATCACTGTCCTTGAGATATTCTTCCAAAGCCATTTCTTCTTCTTCAACCATCTGATGTACTTGCAGCATTCCACGCCCACCTATTTGCCTTGATAAAGTCTGTCAATGTCACTGCGTGGATGAAGGGCATGATTCATTTTCATTATTTTTCTGGTTTTCCTATCCATTGCTTTTAATTCTGCTTAAGTCCAGTTGTGTATCTAATGACTGGAATTGCCCAGGTGTTGATTGCCTTTATGGTATTTCCTCCATTGAGTTTGGACTTTAAGATCTTCTTCATTCTCTTGATGTATTCACCTCTAATCTTTTTCTTGACTTCAGTGTGCTTGATGTTGTCAGCTTGAAGGATACCCAAGTATTTGTAGTAATCTTCCTCATCCAAACTCTTAATGTTATTTTCGTGGAGCATCTTGATTCCTTCAGTTTTCACTATTTTTCCTTGTTTGATAGTAAGTGTGGCACATTGTTCAAGCCAAACTCCATTGCAATACTATTATTGTTGTTGTTGTTGTTATTATCATTATTATTATTACAGAAAATATATCTAAGTGTGAGAAAGAAGCTCAAAAACAGCTGCACCTTGATTATATTAAATATAAAGCAACACTGAGAAGGTCTTTAACGGATTTTCAATATTCTGTTACAATATCCTAGCACATTCCAAAATTCTTAGTGATTGCGGGAGTGATGCCAGGTTATGTATTGCTCCGGGACAACCGCAAGCCCCTGCCTTTGAAAGCTGTGTTTGATGGTCAGCCAGAGAACCTTGCCTACTTCCTAAACCAGGTGTGTGGAACCACCTGGATTGGGATTGAGCAGATTTCCTTGCTGGGGGCCATTGTGACCATTACTGCAAACCTGGAGGAAGAAGCCGCTGAGTGGGTGGTGGCACTCCCTGACGAGGGAGCTCCAGAACTGGGAAGTGTGGTCTCCTTCCTGGAGAGGCTCCAGGACAGATTTGGAGAACCCACACAGGCCCGCCAAGCGGAATCCATTCCATAAGGCAGTGGAGTTGATCAGTAGCTGAGTACATTCGGGAGTTGCGCGGCCTGGCTGGGAGACTAAGGGGGTGGCCAGATTGCTTATTGGTCTATCACTTCTGAGACGGATTAAACAGGGAGCTGTATCACAACTGCCTGCCCCAGGGGATCCTGGATGACTTCCCCGTGTGGTATCGTTGGCTACCAGAGTAGAGCTGGACCTGTTGGAGTACAGGCAGCAGGTAGCACAAGAAAGCTGCCCCTGCTGAGGCAAAGAGAAGTGTCTGTCAACTCAAAGAAGGGGAGGAACCCTTCCGTCAGCCACTAGAGAGGGCCAGCATTGCCCTGCAGAGGCCTGCTTCTGACGCAGAAAGGAAGGCCATCGAGGTGCTAACTGATTAGTTCCCCTAGCCTATATTGATGCTGAGAGCCCCGAGCCAGCCTAAGTCGAAGAAAACACCGAAGAAGACAAAAGAGAAGACTCGGGCTGCACAAAGTTCATGGAGGTCTCCCCCTTGTCCAGTGAAGGGGAGGAAATTCAGACCCCCCCCCCCACAAACCTGGTCCAGTCTTCTACGACAATGACAGCAAAGGGAAAGACAATCCAATGGTAAGTGGAGCCATCACCCCATTGACTGCCCAAGTAGAGGTTTTAGTGCCCCAGTCAGGAGCGAGGGGGGGCTTTACTGGCTTGTTAGACTAAGGGTGCACTTGCTGCTTAGTCAGTTTGCAGTTGGTGAAAAAGTTGGAGCTAAGAGACTGAGACAGCCCATGAAATTCGAGCAAGGGGATGGTTTACTCACAGGGGTGTGTGCCTGCAACCTACCTAACGGAGCCAGTAAGCCTAAAGGCAGGGAGCCATGAACAGACTATTTGGTTTATCATAGCCCCAAAGCTGGCAGAGATGGGCTGTCACAGCTGAAGAAATGGAATCCATCAACTGACTGGGAGAATAACAAGTGGCACCTGAGGGGCAAAGTTGAGAAAGTGGAGGGATGGAGAAACCGCCGAAGGTTAAACAGGTGTCATGAGCTGAGAAGGTGAGAGTGGAGCAAGTTAAAGCGCTAGTGGAAAGCAAGAGAGCTGAGCTGAGCCTCCCAAGGGAATACAGAGATTTGGCAGAAATATTTAACGAGCAGGAGTTGGACACCATCCCCCCTTACCATTTCTCAGACTGTGCAATTGAATTGCTGCCTGGGACAAAGCTTCCCAAACCAAAGATGTACTCCATGACCCCAAGGGAGAGGGAAGAGCTCTGAAAGTTCATGGATAAAAATTTGGCTAGGGGCTTTATCCAACCAACAAAATTTAGGATGGCAGCACCAGTGGTTTTCAAGGAGAAAAAAAAGATGGCTCTTTGAGACTGTGCATCGATTTTCAGGGATTTAATGGGGTTTGCATGAAAAACACATACCTCCTCCCCTCATGAAGGACATGCTGGAATACCTGTTCAAAGGGAAGGTATTCACCAAACTGGACTTGAAAGAAGCATACTACCAAGCTAAGATCAACAAGGCTTTTTAATTGCCCCTTAAGATGTTACCAATTCTCCCTTTGGATTACAGGGAGCACCCACTGTGTTCATGCAACTGATTAATGAGGTGCTGCATGAGCACTTGTACAAGGGGTTGCTGGTGTACCTGGACAACATTCTAATCTACTTCAAGATGATAGAGGATCACAAGAAGCTAGTGAGAGAGGTGCTGAGGAAACTCTTGGAAGTTAAGCTTTATACCAAGCTATTCAAGTGCAACTTCCACAAAATTATTCTGGACTACCTGGGCTATCGTGTTTCTAGTGAAGGAGATGGATCCTGGGAAGGTGGAAGCAATACTAGAATGGGAAGCTCCATGAACCAGAAAGCAGCTGCAAAGCTTCCTGGGCTTTGACAACTTCTACTGGCAATTCATCTCTTCATTTACACAAATAGCCTTGCCCATTACTTAATTTCTAAAAATGGGAGAGGAGGGCTGAAACCGAAGCTGAGCTGATTGCTCAATTAGACTATGGAATGTCAAGCGGCTTTCGAGAAACTTAAACAGCTCTTTGTTGCAGAACCTAGGCACCCAAACCTGGTGGAGCCATTTGTGATCCAGGCCAACACAAGCAATGTGGCAGTGGGGGCCATCCTACTTCAGAAGAATGAGGAGTAGAAGCTCCAACCATGCGCCTACTCTTCCCAGAAACTGCCCAACGCCGAGAGGTGTTGGGAGGTATGGGAAAAGGAGGCTTATGCAGTACAGTGTGCACTACTGACTTAGAGACAGTTTTAGACAGCAGTAAAGTCCCATTTGAAGTGTGGACAGACACAAGAATTTAGAGGCCCCGAAAACCCCAAAGAAGCTTAGGGGATCCTAAGCAAGTCCGATGGACACAGAACAGAATAGAGTAAAAGAGTTGGAAGGGACCTTGGAAGTCTTCTATCTCAACCCCCTGTCATTTCAGACAATCTCTTCTTTAAAACTTCCAGTGTTGAAACATTCTCAACTTCTGGAGGCAAGTTATTCCGAGTATTCCAAGTGAGGTCTTACCATGGCATTATAAAGTGGTATTAACACTTCACATGATCTTGATTCTATCCCTCTGTTAATGCAGCCCAGAACAGGAAAGCCCCTGGGGCTGTTGCAGCCAGTAGCCAACCCTAAAGTTCCATGGGAAGAAATCCCATGGATTTTATTGTGGAATTACCCAAGAGCTCTGGGAGTACAGTGATTTGGCTGTAATCGACTGATTTGTGAAGCAAGCATACTTCGTGGCATGCCCAAAGATTCCTTCAGCCCGAAGATTGGCAAAGTTGTTCGTGCAGCATATATACCGGTTGCATAGAGTTCCAAGGCAAATCATCTCTGACTGGAGGGGGGGTGCAATTTTGGCAGAAGTTTCTAAAATTAATAGGCTCTTCCCAAGGGCTTAGCTCAGGGTTTCATCTGAGTACTAACGGAGTGGCTGGAAAGGCGAACTCATTGATAGAGAAATATTTACGCTGCTATGTTAACTATCAGCAAACTAATTGGGCGGAGCTCCTGCCTTTCATAGAAGTGGCATATAACAACTTGGTACATAGTAGCACTGAGTTCACCCCATTTAAAATAGCTACAGTAGAATTCATACTGATGCCAGGACCTCCAAGAGAACCTCCCTCCTCAGTGTCACTAGATGAGTGGATGGAGATCCTAAAAGCCACTTGGGGAGATGTACAAAAAGCACTAAATAAGGCCAGGAAGTCTTACAAGAGACAGGCTGATCAGAAGACAGCTCTCCAAAAGAAGTTTAGTATTGGAGATAAGATGTACTTGTCCACCAAATATCTTAAGCTGAGGCAACCATATAAGAAACTAAGCCCTAAACATATAGGGCCCTTCCTGATCATTTGGATTATAAGCCCAGTTACGGTAGTGTTAAAATTGCCACAAAGTCTAAGTTGGGTCCATCCATTGTTCCATTGTAGTTTGTTAAAACCATTTCAAGGCTTTAGTTTAAGGCCAGCTGAACAGGAGCCACCTGTTATGGGGGGAGGGGAAGGAACACTACGCGATTAAGAGAATACTGGACTCACAATTTTTTAAAGGGAAGCTGCAATATTTAGTACAGTGGAAAGGATATCCCTTAGCAGATGCGGAATGGGTGGCCACTCATAATGTTAGTGCAGATCGATTAATACGAAAATTCCATGATAAATACCCTCAATGCCCAAAATCCTAATTGAGTATTAATGATTAATGGTGATAATTTGTGTTTAATGTTTTTCCAGGTATACCCTTCTTTTGGGAGGTCAACATGTCAAGATTGAATTGCTACAATGCTTGTTAGCTTCATCATCTTGCCAAAGAAAAGGGGGAAGAGAATTAAATGCCAAGAAGCCATACATGGACCGTGAGAGCCTGCACCATGCCAAGGTCGTTGCCACAGGTACTCAATGGAGAAGTGAACTGTTCCCATAACAAAAAGAAATATTACTATTGGACAATGTGGACACCCGGTGGGAGGGGAGAGGGAATCCAATGTTTAACTAAGCAAGCTTTTGCACAGGAAATCTCAGAGTTGGCTTCGCTTCTTCAGTTCTGAGCTGTTGTATCCAATAAAGTTATGCCTGCTGGGACTTGTCTTGAGGATTCCTTTTGTTGGGTTCACTAGTCAGACAGTTGACACTCTTATTAGTATTTGGCTAATCACCTGCTAGAATTTTTCATATAGTTTTGCTCTTTATATATTTTTCTAACTAGTCAACATATATTTTCTAAATACAGACATTCCCAAAATTGCAGAGCATAAAATGAAATATTATTCGAATTAATTTTCACTGTATTTGCTACCTGCGCTAAATTGCTTGCTTCTGCGAGGAGAACGAGGTTGGCGCTGATAGGGATCACTCGATCCATAGAGGTCAAAGCTTCCTATGCTCAGCAGTTTAGTCTTCTGCATAAAATCTACAACAACCAGACCATTGCAGTTTCCAAATGCAATTCTGTGAAAAGAAATATGGTTTAAGTATTTTAGAGTTATCTCTTTCAAGTACTGAAACTGGAATAGATTTCAAACAAAGAGGCATTCATACAAGGTAATCCTTGTTTTTAATTTTTATTTTTCTTCATCGATTTTTTTTATCATGTATGTTGTCCTTTATTGTTCTTATACTATGAGCCCCAGAGAAATCTGTAGTCAGATGGCATCTAAATAAGATGAATTAAATTTAGCTCATTTTAAGAACCAGATCAGATGATGGGTCATTCATCTTTGGTTTCATGACAGACACTGAAAAGGGAGCCTGCTTGTCAAAAAGAGCTGGCTTAAACTCATAGCCTACAAGTGACATATAGTTCCTAGACCGTCATCTTTATTGCTCTAAGACCAGGCTGCTGACATTCATCAGTGATACAACCAGGGCTTTTTTTTCTCATAGAACGCCCAGAACGGAGTTCCGGCATCTTTTTTTGGATGGAATCTTGTAGGGTAGGCAAGGTGGGTTGTATGACATGTGTGAGTTCTGGCACCTTTTAAAAAAAAAAAAAAAAAAAACCCCACTGGATATAACCAAATTTTGGCATTAGGATATATGGTCACTTTTTTGTAAGTATGCTTATAAGGATGGGAGTGAGAACAATTTGGCTCTGAGAAACTTTCCACTTCCACATTTGGTCCTAAAACTCCCAAAGTAAACCAAAGAAGAAGTCCATGTGCCTTTGGGTTATATCATATGATCATTGGAGGATCTCCTACAGCTTTTCAGAAGTTGGAAGGCTTAAGTATGTCTTTCCAAGCAGGTTATTCAGGCAATTACTAATCTCCTCTTGATAGGAGGTACACATACTTAAGGTTTTATGGGTCATCCTTCAGGTCTACTCTCTGTGCAACCAGAAAGAAATAAGGACAGTTGCTAGTTCATGAGGAAAAACATTGTACACTTTAAGAAACTATCAAGAGCAATCAAAATGGCACAGAAAGAATTGTAACCAGATGGTGAAAAAAGGATAATTTGGAAAACGATAAAATATTGAATGCTCCAGCCACATGAGTTTATATGATTCAATCTCAAAGTGACTCCTAGGAATGGTGGGCAACATCTGGCATAAAGAAAGGAGAGAGAATGTCTGTTTTTCAGGAACAATGAATCTTCCTGATTCCCCCACACTTATATGAGATCCAATTTATCCTCTTCTGTACCATAGTTAAGATAAGATGGAAATTAACTGGGCCTAAAATAGAAATGCCACAATGATGTCTAATAGTGGCAATTCAGAGGGAGTTTGGGAAAGAAAAATCCAGCAGTATGTGAACTCCACAGCACCACCCATCTCAATATTATGCCCAAGATGTAAGCATCCCTATTCACCAATACAATCCCATCAGAGCAGGAGCATTAAGTTTAAATTAAAGCATCCATAACAGATATCTGAATAGCCTCTCTTTAAGGAAATCTTTGTAGGGCTTCTTATAATTAGTACATTGATGAAAGTACTACCTTCCTATATTATAATACATTATAATGAGTGCAAAATTAGTACATTCCCTAACATTAAATCAGAAACTGCCTTTCTGGAATTTAAATGTGCAGTATTATTTTCCTTCCTCATATACAGTATTCTAATTCCAAAGCATACAATCATACTAAAGGGGAGGCAGGCAGAAACACAAGCAAGGAAGAATTCTTCCTCACGTAGGCTATGCATGGCAACAATATTGTTATGCTCTCAAGCAAAGGAGGATTAGTAGAAGGATAATCATAATAAATAGCAGCATTTTTTTCTCTGACACCAAATTAATATTAAACTGAAAGACAATATATATGTGAATGTCAAGGACTAAATATTACCACCTTCTTATTGTATGCAATTTCCTATTCTTGAATCACATTTTTTTAAATAGTTCATCAATTTCCTTAATGGCTGGGATAGCTTATTAAGTACACCCTTATAGATATAAAATAAAATACAAACACCAAAGGGATGGCTTTAAAAGTTCTGGAGTACTAAAATGTGTTGACTTGTCCCCAAAAAGGAATTGGGAATGGGCTTGCTTTAACTTCAGGAAAAAATTCATTCCACAAAAGGGCATGGAGAAAACAGAATTGGTCATTAATGTCATGCATCTCCATGGCAAGACCTGTAAATGGTAACCCACAAATGAACTAACAGGGTGTATAACACTATAGATAGTCCTTGCTATACAACCATTCCCTTAACTATCATTCAAAATTACAGTCCTCGCACTTATGATCATAGCAGAGTATGCAGTCACATGATCAGAATTTTGGAGCTTGGCAACTGGAACACATTTATGATGGTTGCAGTGTCCCAGGATCACATGATTGCCATTTGCAATCTTCCGGCAAGTGAAGTCAATGGGGAAAGCTGGATTTAATTGCCCCATGATTCCCTTAGTAATTATGATGATTCACTTAACAAATGCAGCAAAAAAACTAGTAAAATTGACTGCAACTCACTTAATGACCCATCACTTAGCAACACTTCTCTGTATGTACACTGAGACAGTGTGAGACAACAAGCAAAAGAGAGTTGTTTCCGATAAACTGAATTTTAGTCTATAAAACCCAATGACATAATATAATCTTTAAAGAGCCCCAATAGTCTTGCTTAGCTTTCATGCAAGATTCTTATGGATAATTTTAATCCCTAAATCTTATGAAGATGGCAGAGTCTTATTGATAACCATACCGAAGGTGTACATATATAGATAAATAGCTGAAATTAACTAGCAAGTTAATTAAGGAACTAATATATAGACCTATAGTTGCATAAACAATATGTAATTTTCCTTCTAGACATAAAACAAATAATTTAGAATTATTCTGCCTGAGTTTTGATTTTTGATTTGAGTGTCATTATGATGCAGACATTTAGTAGCATTTTGATAACTACATTGTCACCATGATTACATGTATTTGAATGTATGTAAAAGGTAACAAGACATTTTTAAATGAGTAAATATACTGTATCATAATGGAAAACTAATGAACTCAGCAGGCTATTTAGGTTTGTTTCCTTGAAAATAATCCTCTAATAATCAATGCAATGAAAGTCATTAAAATAAGGGTCACATGATAGCTGTCTTGAAGGGCTGTCACAGAGAATTTCTTCTCCAAAGCACCAGAAGACAAGACAAGCAGTAGTGAGTGGAAGCTTCTCAAAGACAGATCCAACCTAGAACCTAGAACTGAGAAGAAATTTCCTGACAGTGAGAACAGCTTGTCTCCTGGAGTTATGGGTGGTCCATCACTGGAGGTTTTCAAGAATAGATTGGACAACCATTTCATAGGGATGGTATAGGGTCTCCTGCCTTAAGCATAGAACAGAGGTCCCCAACTTTTCTAGCTCTGTGTACCAGCAGCAGCAGCGGGGAGAGGGGATGCTTTCAAGTGTGCGCCCATGCTTGTGCAAATGGAGCTTTGCACACTTGCACGCTTACAAGCTCACCTGCTGCTTGCAGGGTCCAGTTCCCAATGGGACGCAGCCTGGTACCAGGCCACGGACCATAGGTTGGAGACCTCTAGACTAGAAGACTTCCAAGGTCCTTTCCAGCCCTATGATTCTATAGTCCATGAATGTCTGTGGAGATTCTCAGTCATCCAGGTCATATTTGTCTCAAAGGTGTTTTTTCAAAAGGCAGCTGGATTGTTTTAGCCTTGAGGAGGAAGAAGAAGACATTTTGCTTCTCATCCGAGAAGTTTCATCAGTTCTGGCAGGATGGTGAGGGTGATGGAAGGATGAAGGATTCATATTCTATGAATATACATGCCTCAGAATACTTGGTTTTTGTTCATAGATATGCCAACAGTTTTGAGATTATGAAAATTTTGTATTGATTCATGATAAAAGTAATTAATTTATGATGTTAAAAGTAAAAGTAATTTATGATGGCTGACCCCAGTGGAAAAATAAGTGAAATCCATGCCTTGATTTGAACTACACAGGCTGTAACAGCTTTTAGAACTCTAATGTTTCTTCCTCCATGGTTTGACAGCTTCCATGAAAAACTCAAGAACATTCATGAGGATCCAAATATTGTGTTTATGATAGTACCCAAAATCACCAGATCTTTGATTGTTATGGGTTATTTTTTGCAAAACGCTGTTTTGATAGCACTTTTATTTGGATCTTACATAAGAAGTAATAGGGATCTGTATCTTGGTGCCATATTTTCTGCCATTTTCTTCCAAACCACCAAAAGAAAACAAACTGATTGGAATATGCTTTTCTCTCCCTGGAATAGGTTCTATTACTGGTTCCAGATAGACCTCCATTCTTTTTTTTTTTTTTAATAATTTTTTATTTTTCCAAACTCTCCCCCATACATATACCGTGATATTTATCAGATGTTAACATACATTTTTTTACATTCATATATAAGATACTTTTAATAAAATTAAATACATACACATGAGTTTTGGTGTTGCTCGCCCATTTCCCCTTTCACTGTATCCACACTCCTTCTTCTCTACCTTCTTTCTCCCTTTCTTCTCTTCCCTACTTCCCTCTTATTCCTCTTCTCTTCTCTTTCCTTCACCACTCTCCTCCCCTTTCTCCCCACTTCTCCTCTTCTCCTCCAACCTTCCTACTTCCTTCTCCCCTCCTTTACTCTTTTCCCTCTCCTCTCCTTTCTTCCCTCTCATCCCTCTTCAGATACAATTCAGGGGTAATGTCCGAGCAACTCCTCTCTCTATCTGTATTATATAAAATAAGATTAATTTTCTCTTACATTAATACTTCTATTTATCTAACCTTCTCGGTATATACTTCTATAAATATTTATATAGTTATTCAATACTGTGTCGCCTGGATCTCCTTCCTTATCTGCTCCTTCTTCTTCCATCTAAATTGATGTTAACTATCTTTTAACCATATTCTCTTTTCAGCCAATCATAAAAAGTTCCCAAGATTTCATAGTAGATAGATCTCCATTCTAAAGATGACTCAAATTTCCCACTTCCCAACCAGCCAAACTGACCAAACCCAAATGAAGATATAAGGGGATAACTTACAATCCATAGGCTGAATTCATTGCTAGGCTGGTTATTTGTTGAGGAAGCTCACCATCTACACACAACAATTGAATAACAAGTTCTGCTTGATAACCAGGGGGCATTCTTACAGCACGAGTCTTCACACTAAGAAGAAGAGGAGAAACAATTATCAAAATGATCTGATTACCAAATTGGAAATCACTTGCACTTATAAAAAAACTGGCTTTGAGAAAATATAGAGTCAAAATGCGACTGTACAGTTTCTAAGGGGAAGAGTGGGTGAGAAACATTAAGTATATATAAATGTGTGTGAATAGTATTGATTGAAGTTTTCTTCCTCTCAACTGCTTGTCTTATCCCAATTCTGTTTTACTCTTCTGAGTAAAACAAATCAGTGTTATATCTTCATATTAGGTCTCATTTGATTCTTGAAGCAAGGGTAACAAAAAAATTATGATGCTTTTTCATATAAAGCAAGAATGCAATCTACAGTAACTCCCGATTAGAAATATTAAAGAGCTATTGGAATAATCCTAACTCACCCTTCCATTGTGGAAAAGAGCAAGATTAAAGTTCTTCCATATCCCTATTTTTTATCATAACCTGACACGTTTCATGGGGTTGAACTGAAGAGCAGGACAGTCTTCACTTTGCAACAAGAATACTCATTTAATGCTGTTTGTGGTTGCTTAACTGTGTGGCACTAAATACAGATAAAGAAATTTTGTTCTTCTCAAAAAAACTCAGTCACTGCATTGGAATGGAAGAATAATAGTGATTTATTGCTATAAATTGTAATGTTTTATTAATACAGGGCCTAAAATGTAACATGACAAAATTCTGTGACTATACGAGTCACAGGAGTGCTAAGTTCTCTCCTGTCTCTATCCTTATCCCATTCTGGAGCTGTCCCAATTTTGTTAGCTTCACTTCATTTCTCTAAACCACAGGTCGGCAACCTGCGGCTCCGGAGCAGCATGTGGCTCTTTGAGCCTTCCCCTATGGCTCCCAGCCTCCTCTGCCATTTGCAGAGAGAGTTAGAGACAGAGAGAGGCACTTGCACTTCCATTCTCTCTCTCTCTCTCTCTCTCTCTCTCTCTCTCTCTCTCAAAAAGAGTGGACTCACGATATTCTCCAACGAGCTGAAAAGCTTATTTGGGCGGAGCTCCTCCCTTTGCTGCATCTCTTCAGGAAGCAGGAAGGGCAGAAGAGAGCTAGCTAGCCCAGCTATGCTGACTCAGGAATTCTGGGAGTTGAAGGCCATGAGTCATAAAAGAGCTGAGGTTGCCTACCCCTGAGCTTGTTGGAGAACAGCTTGAAGCCAGCTTGCCAGGTGAGCAGAAGATCGGAGAAAGGGAGGGGGGGGAGAAAGAGAGGGAGAGAGAAAGAGAGAGAGAAAGAGGGGAAGAGGAGAGAAAGAGGAAGAGGGAGAAGAAAGAGAGAAAGAGAGAGAAAAAGAAAGAAAAAGAGAAAGAGCAAGAGAGAGGGAGGGAGGGAAAGAGACAGAGACCCTTTTGACATCTAAAATGAAGATAACACTGCATATATCCTTTTTTACCTTTATTATAGGTGTGTGTATATATGTATGCATGTGTGTGTATATATGTGTGTGTGTATGTGTATGTATGTATGTGTATGTATGTGTATATATATGTGTGTGTGTGTGTGTGTGTATATATATTTAACCTTTATTATTATTATTATTTGTTTGTGTGTGTGTATATATATATATATATATGTTTTCTGAGGTTTTCGCGGGTATTTGTATATAGGTCTTTGGTTGTTCGGGTTTTCTCCCGCGTAAAATTGGAAGTGTCTTGGCACCGTTTCGACGAAGTCACATTCGTCATCTTCAGGCTGGTGTTTTTAGCTTCTTGCTTTGAGCAGCAATGTGTGGTTTTAGCTGTTTCTTCCTTTTAACTGCCAGTGAGGGTATGAACTGATTGGATGGGAGCTTGGCTGTGTTCTGATTGGGTGGAGGTGTGTTCTGAATGGTTAGGGGCTTGGCTGTGCTCTGATTGGCTGGGGGAGTGTTCTGTTTGGTTGTGCTCAGGTTAGTCTGAGTTGCAGAGGGGTTTAAGATTTTGGGGTTAGGGAGTCGTTTGTCAATAAGGGCAGGTTTCCAAATGGCTGGTAGGCGGGAGGTATCATCTCGCTTGTTCATGCTGTGTGGGCGTTTTTCTATCTCGATGGCTTCTCTGATTATTCTGTTATTAAAATGTTCACTTTTGGCAATGGTTCTGGTATTTTTAAAGTCAATTTCATGTCCTGTGGCTTTAAGGTGTTGGACCAGGGAAGATGTTGGTTCCTCTTTTTTGACTGAGTTCTTATGTTCTTCAATGCGTGCACTTATTCTTCTGTTGGTTTGTCCGATGTATGTGGTGGGACAAGTGGTGCATGGGATTTCGTATACTCCTTGATTTTCTAATTCAATTTTATCTTTGGGGTTTCTAAGGATGGTGGATATTTTTCTGTTTGTGCAGAATGCTGTTTTGATGTTGTGTTTATGAAGGATCTTACTGATTCTGTCTGTGGTGCCTTTTATGTATGGGAGGAGGGCTTTGCCGTTTTCTTGTTCTTTGTCTTGGATTTTAGTGGGGGTTTCTTTTTGGATTAGGTTTGTAATCTTATTTCTATGGAATCCATTGGATGTTAGTACATTGGTGAGAGTGTGTAGTTCGGGTTTTAGGTGTTGTTCGTCAGCTAAGCGTTTTGTTCTGGAGATGAGTGTCTTGGCTACAGAGTTGATCTGTGCTGGGTGGTGGTGTGAGAGAGCGTGTAGATAGCGGTTTGTGTGTGTTTTCTTCTGGTAGATGGTGTGTCCTAGGGAGCCATTGGATTTCTTGTAGACTAAGACATCCAGGAAGGGAAGTTGGTTGTTAGCTTCTGTTTCCATGGTGAACTGTATTTTGGGTGTAGGCTGTTGAGGTGTGTGAGGAAGTTGTCCAGTTTTTCTTTCCCATGTGGCCAGATTATGAAGGTGTCGTCTACATATCTGAGCCAGAGTTTGGGTTTGTGATCCGATTTTTCTAGAGCTTGGGTTTCAAAGTGTTCCATGTAGAGGTTGGCAATGACAGGTGAGAGGGGTGATCCCATGGGTGCTCCTTCTGTTTGTTTGTATTTTTGTCCGTTATAGATGAAGTATGTGTTGGATAGGCAGTGGTTGGTCAGATCTAAGATGTGTTTGGGGGGGTTATATTTGTTTTGAATAGCTGTCAAGGCTTCTTTGATAGGCACTTGGGTGAAGAGGGATATGACATCGAAGCTCACTAGTAGGTCGCTGGGCTGTAAGCTTTGTTTCTTTATGATCTCTATAAACTGGAATGAATTTTTTACGTGTGAGGTGATGGATTCTGCATAGGGCTGTAGTTGTTTGGCGAGAAATTTGGCTAGGTTTTGTAGAGGTGAGCCTATGGAGCTGACTATAGGTCTGAGTGGGGTTCCTTCTTTGTGTATCTTGGGGAGACCATAGAGTTTAGGGCATCTGGATGATTTCTCTCTGGGAATGATTCTTTGCTGGATCTCTTCGCTAATGGGGGAGGCTTTTATCTTGGTTCTGGTGGTTTTTTCCAGGTAGGTGGTGGGATCTGTATTTAGGGGTTTGTATGTGGAGTCTTGGAGTAGGTTGGTTAATTTGGTTTGGTAGTCAGATGTGTTCATAACCACCGTGGCGTTGCCCTTGTCTGCTGGTAGGATTATTATGCTGGTGTCTTCTTTCAGGTTACGTAGTGCTGTCTGTTCCTCTTTGGGTAAGTTGCTTTTGGGTGGCTTGCTGGTGCAGAGGATGTTGGTGATTTTGAGTCTGATTCTGTTAGCGTCGTCGGGGTTGATTTTGGTCAGGCTGGTTTCAACTCCACATATAATGGTTTCAGTGGGGATGTGTTTGGGAGCGACTGCAAAGTTGAATCCTTTGGAAAGGACATTGGTTTCGGCTTTGGTGAGGATCCTATCTGAGATGTTATGCACTGTTTGTTTCATGTGTGGCTGTGAGGGAGGAGGGGTTTGTTTCTGGCGTTCTTGTAGTCTTCGGAGTTTGTTGGTGTGTGTATCTGTCTTGAGGGTGGTCTGTGTTTCGGCTCTCCAGACGGCGAGTTGTTTGGATTTGTCCCAAAGTGCGGGGTGGATCTTGTTGCTGATTTTGAGGTGGAGTGTGAGGAGATCTTTGTTAATTCGGTCTAGGAGGAATCTTTTTGTGTGAAGTTCATTTCTGATTAGGGCCAATTCTGTTCTTTTCAGGATCCGTTTGGTGGCTGCAGAGTTGGAGTGGAATTTCAGTTGGAAACATGTGGGGATTAGATTTTGATCTCGGCAGTTACGTAGGAATGCGAGGTCACATAAAATGGAAGCTCTTTGGACTTCAAGTTTTTCATAGGTCCTGGTCAGATGGTGGATTTCCTCCCCGTAGAGGTTCGATATTTGTTTTCTGAGGTTTTCGCGGGTATTTGTATATAGGTCTTTGGTTGTTCGGGTTTTCTCCCGCGTAAAATTGGAAGTGTCTTGGCAACGTTTCGACGAAGTCACATTCGTCATCTTCAGGCTGGTGTTTTTAGCTTCTTGCTTTGAGCAGCAATGTGTGGTTTTAGCTGTTTCTTCCTTTTAACTGCCAGTGAGGGTATGAACTGATTGGATGGGAGCTTGGCTGTGTTCTGATTGGGTGGAGGTGTGTTCTGAATGTTTAGGGGCTTGGCTGTGCTCTGATTGTCTGGGGGAGTGTTCTGTTTGGTTGTGCTCAGGTTAGTCTGAGTTGCAGAGGGGTTTAAGATTTTTGTGTTAGGGAGTCGTTTGTCAATAAGGGCGGGTTTCCAAATGGCTGGTAGGCGGGAAGTATCATCTCGCTTGTTCATGCTGTGTGGGTGTTTTTCTATCTCGATGGCTTCTTTGATTATTCTGTTATTCAAATGTTCACTTTTGGCAATGGTTCTGGTATTTTTAAAGTCAATTTCATGTCCTGTGGCTTTAAGGTGTTGGACCAGGGAAGATGTTGGTTCCTCTTTTTTGACTGAGTTCTTATGTTCTTCAATGTGTGCATTTATTCTTCTGTTGGTTTGTCCGATGTATGTGGTGGGACAAGTGGTGCATGGGATTTCGTATACTCCTTGATTTTTTAATTCAATTTTATCTTTGGGGTTTCTTAGGATGGTGGATATTTTTTCTGTTTGTGCAGAATGCTGTCTTAATGTTGTGTTTGTGGAGGATCTTGCTGATTCTGTCTCTGGTGCCTTTTATGTAAGGGAGGAGGGCTTTGCCGTTTTCTTGTTCTCTGTCTTGGATTTTAGTGGGGGTTTCTTTTTGGATTAGTTTGGTAATCTTATTTCTTTGGAATCCATTGGATGTAAGTACATTAGTAAGAGTGTGTAGTTCGGTTTTTAGGTGTTGTTCATCAGCTAAGCGTTTTGTTCTAGAGATGAGTGTCTTGGCTACGGAGTTGATCTTGCTGGGTGGTGGTGTGAGAGAGCGTGCAGATAGTGGTTTGTGTGTGTTTTCTCTGGGGGTTAAGATGGTGTGTCCTAGGGAGCCATTGGATTTTCTTGTAGACTAAGACACCCAGGA